TGTTTTAGTAGTCCACACAATATATGTGTGTACCTTTAGTTTCATCATCACCTCAAGATATGTTCTTTCTGCTGTGCTAATCTTATGGTACTTTGACTTTGGGGTCAGATAGCATGTCCATGGTAATGTGATGGGAAGTCCACTGTGGACTGTCCTCTGTACAGATGGTGGTTGTAGCTGATGCTTGTTCTTGTGCAGGCTACTGTGAGAACTGTCTACCATTTATATTGTGAGGAAGCATTTGACACAGAGATAAAGCCAATCCCTTACCAATGGGATGTCAGATCTTCTGCCCTACATACAGCTTCTCTTTTAATCATTTGAAAATTTGAAATAACATTAGGTAAAAGAAGAAACCAGAAAGTACCAATTCTAACATAGATATTCGACCCTAAGCCTCAAAAACAGAAATGTGCAGGTGTAACATTTTACATGGCAGAAATTAGTGTCCAAATGCCTTTACTCTTCTAGTTGTGAAGGAATTTAGTACAGTGGAGAGGCAACTTGCACTGCAAATATTCTGTGGAATAGGAATAGACTGTCATTTATTGATGAGCTCAGAAGACTGTGGTATAAATATTTGTGTTCACTTGAGGTTAAATAAGCAAGCAGAATGCTAGGTCTTTGCAGTCCTGCTTTAGTTGCTTTCCTGGAGTGATCTATGAGCTCAAAAGCTCACTAACTCTCAGAATACCTGCACAGATGCTTTCTAAAGTCCTAGTGCCAATACTTTATGAAAACTGCAATGGAGTAAGGATGCCAGTAGCACTAGGGACTGAAGAGAATCAGCAGCTGAACTGAGTCACAGGCTAATGCTCATCCATATTGAATCTGTTGCAGACAGTGAGGACAATAACTCCTCTCAGTAATGATCAATGAAATACTTTTCTAGTTAACTTCAGCACAAGTGAATGCCTTCGGTGTCTGCTGCACGTCAGGGAGAACTTTCTTGTGTCATCTTGCAAAGCAACACTGACTAGTAAAAAAACTCCAAAGTGATACTCAAGGAAAAATGTACCTCTAATTTTACCGTTTGGGGTTTTTTTTAGCATAACCTGCCAAATTAAAAAAAAAAAAAAGACACTATTTTATGACTTTCATTTTAAAATGAATTTCTGTATTTTTGCCAGTTACTGCTGTGCTAAAAGCCAAAGTGAATATTATTTGTACTCACTGCTTATAAAATACCATAGGCCTGTTTTCTACAGAGTGATGAGAATTACATTGACTTTGCCCACCACAGGATTCCTTCTAATATCCTGTCAACAGTCTCATACCCTGCATTTACTGCTGTGCTCAAATCCCATCTCTCCATAACATTTAAAAGGAATAATGAAAAGGCATCTTTTCCAATACCAAACTACCCTATTGTTTCGTTTGTGCACTGAACTGCTGTTGATTACTTTGCAAGTTCCCTCTACTTCACAAACTGATAAACAAGAGTTTTCCTGTGCAAATTTAGATGAAGAAAGCTTTTTGATGATCAGTGAAGTACTGTGTGTGTAAAGTGGTTAATTAAATTTCCTTGCTTCCTCCATCAAATTCTGCAAGTTAAAAATCCCATTCTGAGGTTCTCCACTCATTCAAAACCCTGGTGCCTTGACAGCCACCTTTGACTTCATTTTCTTCTTGATAAAATCTATCATGACATGCAAGAGTGCCTTACTCATGTGAGATGAATGATGGTCCTGCATGCTTACTACAATAACATGAGATTAACATAGATCAAAGATTTGCTGGAGTTATTAAGAGTAGACAACCTCCATATACTTATCTGGATTTTTTTTCCCTTTTGCTAGTTAACTTATCAAACTAATAAATAGCAATGAGTCATTCTGTTTTTTTCCTTTAGAGTGCTTATAAATGTATATGAGTTGACAGTTTTATAATGGTGAATAGATAAAAAGTATTCTTGGTAAAAAGATGCTCCGTGTGAATACTTGTATGCATTTCTGTTCACATATCTAACACCTGTGTGATCCCTCAGGCAATTCAGTCACTCATTTTTCTTGCCAATTTGCTTGCTTCATTTTGATCTATGTTTGCTATCATTTGTCAACTGACACCTTTAGCATGTTTTCACATCAGTTGTTTTGAGAACATGAATGCTGATAATTACATCAGTACTGCCCCATTGCAGGAGGATAGAGTAGACAGTCACCTGGGACTGCTTTTTTAACAGTTATTAATTTCTAGTTTTCATGTCTTGCAAAGTTGCTGGTTACTTATCCATTTCTCCCATTGCAGATCTATAGGCAGTAAATAGAAGTCTTCCATTAAGTGCATGTGCTCGTGGCTTCAGTATTGGAGCTTTTGGTTGGATCTTTTCCCCATCTGTACATGTCTTGCCTCCTCTCATGTAGATGTCAAAGACCTAAATAGTCTCAGGTTTCCAGTGCCTCAGTTATTCTCACCTTCCTTAGCTTAGAACAGAATTCCCCAGAGTTCGTGCATGCACGTGTCCAGCATCTCTGCAATTGCCATGAAAGACCAGCTTAACTTTTTCATGACTTACTGAGATTTCGTAAGGGCTTCATGCAAATACTCTTTGTAGTGTCAGGCATTCCTTATAACTTCTGCCTCTTTCTTATTACCATGGTAGCTCCATCATCCAGTTCCATCTGCTGTGTGTTCCCTTCTGTGAGAGCAGTCTTCTCTCAAGCACTCACTTTTTAAAAGGAATGTAGGTGAGATCTAGACAGGAATTGTCTTGCTCATTCATATATGGCTTTGCACAAACAAGATATCCCAGAAGACTCTTTGGCAAAGTTAATTTTCATTTTAGTCAACTGATTCATCTGGTTTTCTTCCACTAACCTTATGCTTTGCAACATTTGATGCAAGGAATAACTTGCCCTTGTGTGTACATAGGACTAAACATTTAACCCAGCTGTTGTCTTTTTATTTAGACGGAGATCTAAAGATACCATGAAATAAGCCAGAAACTTATTGAAACAGAAGCACACCACTGTAGCAAAAACACATTTTGTATCTCTAAGGAGTAGGTGAATCTCCTTAACACAACTCTTAAATAAAACAAAAATTGCTCTATTGGTGTAAAACAGTGCTACTGCTTTAAAAGAGACTTGCCCCAAAGGGCTTATTACCACAATTTTCCAAGTATTTAATTTATTACGTGCTTGGTGTTTTACTACCTTTCCCAGATTTTAGTTATCTCAGCCCCACTTTTGAGTGCTGAAAGGTCAAGAGGTGTAAAGGCACATCAGTGTGAAAATGTTTAGACTATTTGAAATCAAGGAATAAAATAGAAAGCTGGGTGCTTCTGAAGAGCTTGTCCATATTTGGGAATCCAGCATAACATCACTTTAAACATTGTAGTGCATAATTAGTATTTACCTTTTTAACTATACATTTTTTCATAAATGTCTAGAACAGGATTTACTGGACAGTATGGGTTCATTAGGTTTTCAACCCGATATTTGAATGTGTGTGTTGTGGGATTATGTCTTTACTTTTTGTTTATTTGGGGTTATTTTACTAAAATTTTGGTTTATTATTGTGTCTCCCACAGGGTGACAAAGTGGTAAGATATTCACAACAACAAAAATGCAGCTTCTTGTGCAGTCTGGAAACATCTAGATGCACATGTGTTATAAGGAAGACACAATTTTGTTATTTAAAAATATAAATCTTACATTTATGTAACAGCTTTTATCCCCAGGGATCCCAAAGTACTTTAGAAAACTCTTAACATATGTTGTATCATCTATCCACTAGAGTATTGGCACCTGTGGTGCAGAGCATAGTGGCCTTTAGAAGGAGGAAAATTCTTTAAAAAGATATAGATACAAAAGATGGTAAGCATCCAGGTCAACTACCACTAAAATCTTCCCATTGATTTTTGATGGGCGTACACAAGAAAAAATTCAGGAAATGTCATCATTTTATATAGCAGGTTAAAAAAGAAAAGCACTTTCCATTTTTCCATCTTAAAACATCTGTAGTTTTACAAAATCACTAATATGATTATGATTTCAAATCTTAAGGAGATTTCTTAAAACCATTTCAATTTAACTTCAGTCACATGTATCTAAATTCAAGAATATTTTCTACTGTAAATTAGGACTTTAGTTAGTGAAGAAACTGGAGTTTGAATAGGAGTAGAATGGATGCTGTTATTTTGAAGGAAAATATGACTATAATGTCAAGAGCCAATCTTGCTTGCATTGGCAGTGAAGAGAAACAATGGTGGTGACCTTGATGGGCTTCAAATAAATACATAAACTTACTGTATTTTAACATGTTAAATTTTTTTATCTGCCTACCTGTTTTTCTCTGTTTAGGTGTGTTTCGTGGTGATATGCATAAGAAATGATTCCAAGATTTGTAGAAGGAAAGTTGGAATATTTTTCCTCTTCTGTAGTAACCCAGGCGCCTTCATTATTTCACTCCTGTATGTTTAGGGTCCTGGACAGGTCCTTATTAGACTTTTTTTTTCCCTTCTGTTGCTTTTTGATTAATCTAACTTTCAAAAAGACAGATACCCAAGGCTATACCCCTGAATGCACGTGAAAACTGTTGTATGAAGGTGTATGAATGTAAAATTCACCTGTGTGACTCAACAGTGGCTGGTTTTCATCTGGAAGCAGAGGTGCCTGGGGGTGTTGGTGCAGCCAGGGCAAACTGACCATCTCATTTGCAGGTGGTGCCATTTCACATATAAGTTGCTCAGAAACCAAAGCTGGGCTCTTGTCAAAAGATCTGCCCCTCAAAGTTTCTGTTTGCACTGTCCAGCTCATGCATCTGGGGAAGTGCCAGGCACCCCAAGGTTTTGGATAGAGGTGCTGCTGGCACTGAGAGATGGGAAGTAGAGCTGCTGCTGTGGGTGGGCACATCAAGACAGGGACTGTACCTGAAAGGGCTTGTCCAGGCATGGAGATGGTTGGCTGTGGCTTAAAGCCACCAGTGCCAGTTTGACTATTGACTGTGCTTCAGTTTGAAGCCTGAGTCAGACTGATGTGTTTTTGTCTTTCTTGCAGGTGTTCTGTGCCAGGTAGTGTAGTCTCACAGGCCCTGCCAAACTGGTGATGGTACCAGCACCGTGGAATAGTTTGGGGGTTTTTTGTTTAGTGTGTGAACATTTGCAGTCACAGTTGCTGTGTGTGAAATATTTCACAATTCTGAGTCATAATGAGTACGGGAATATGTTTTGGTAAGATCAGAAAATTATCCCTAGCATTATCATTCAATGGTAATACAAGCGGTGTTAACTCCTTTCTAGAAAAAATATACTTGTATCCCTTATCAAGCACAAATGATCTTGATGAAGACCTCTGGTAATATACAATGTATTATCATTATTAAAAATGTATTTCACTTGAATTACTTGTCATAATAGCTACTTGTTGGAAGGGAGATGAAAAATACTCTTCTCAAAGTCCAGTGGATTTAGCTTAGCTTTGAGAAACTTGGTACCCAGCAGCAGCAGCCAGCCCAGGTACATTTTTAACTCCTGGGAAACATCTGCGTGAAAGAGCTCTTTAATTGCTGATGTAATAGTTTTGGTTAAGAATCCTCACTTTTTTTGGTGGGGGCAGTTGCATGAATGAGTTTGATTTCTGTAATTAAAATATTTCAATTAATTTGTTTCATTGGACTAAAAATGTCAACAACATTGATTAAATTTAGATTTTTTTCAGTTTAAAGTAAGTGGTAAATATTTTTGTAGATGAATTCATCTGTTGTTAAGAGAACATTCAAGTGTAAAAAAAGGAGAGTTAATTTGTTTCTTACCCCACTGACCATCCTGCTAATATTCACCATCACTTTGTAGCATGAGTTACCAAGTGTGTAGAAACCTTAAATTCAAAAACCATGTTGGCATTCTTGTATGACTTACTTAAACGAATCTTTGGCTTGGGAATGTTTCCACACTCAACATCTCTTCCTCAAAACCCCCTCCAAAGAGAATTAGTTTTAAATCATGATTAGTCTTTATGGCTTCATATGGTTCAGTTGCCTTTGCAGTCCCTGGATGTGTTAGCAGGGTGGGGTGGTAGTGAAATAATTACTTCATGTCTTTATAAAGAATGTAAACCTGACTAGGAACCTAAAGTCGTGATTCTTTTTTTTCTAAATTCTTCTTACAAAGGCAGGGGGTGAGTGGGAATGGGGCAACCACTGCTATAGGATGTCATTTGAGAAATATCTGTAATTATACTTTATCCATTTCGTTGATTTCATGCAAACTAATGACTTTTTTAGTGAGGCTGGTTGGGTGTCATAAGAAATTAATGTTCTTTGGAAGATGTCTAAAACTTAGATAATGCCTTTTTTTTTAATACTAGTTAACAAATATTCTGTAGTTGAATTAGATAGCAACTGAGTGTTGATTAGAGCAGGATAAATCAGAACAAATATTAATAATTTGCCTGTGTTCTGCATGGGCAAACTTTCTAGTCAATAATCAAATATTGTTAATCAGTAGATTTGACCATAAAGAAGTTGTATATCAATGCAGCTGAAGCATTAAATTTAAACATTGTGATCTATGGGTGTGTCAGATCTGAAACCTATGTTACATGTGTTGATAGTAATCAGAGAAGGGGATTTTAATGGAGATATCCACCTTCTAAAGAATGGAAAGGTTAAGAGTTTTCTAATGAATATGATGCAAGATGATCAAAACAGATCAACAAAGTATACAGTAACTACTGTACAGCCATATCTCTACTAATGGTTCTCGAGATCTGCCTGTCGCTGAACTGTAGAGAGAGGGAGGGGAAAAGTAGTTCAGAGGACAAAGTAAAATGGTAGGGAGATATTTTCCCAGACACATTCATGATATTTGAGTCCCTGGGTCATATCTGAAACAGTAAGTTGGAGTATTATGCATTGATTTTAGATATATGACTTTTACTGAGCTGGAAGTTGTAGTTCAGGAGCACTGAGGTCCAGGTTTAATTCTCCAGGAATTGCCATGATGTTTGGTGCATTTCTATTAGCCATACACTGATTCAGAACCAAGAGCTTTGTCAGTTGTTGTAAACGGCTGATCTTTTCCTCTTAGCAGTGGGTTTTCATCAGGTTATCTTTCATGATAATGAAATTGAACTGAGATTATAAGACTAATTTATTTCAAAATAAAAGGACATTTGAGTCTAAGCACAAGGGAAGATGTCTACTCTTTGCCTCTTTAGCACCTCTCAAATTCATTGGAATATCTTTATTAGTTCTCTGAAGACTGAAGAGTCTTTGAATTGTCAGTGGCACATGTAACTCACACACAGAAATCTGAGAGAAACTGAAACTTTTTTTTGTTTTGACTGGCACTTGCAAGACATCACTAAGTAAAATGCAGTATGTAATGCAGTATGTAGCTGTGAACAATTTCTTCCTCCTTTTTCTCTCTTCATATTTTATTTACTGTAGCTTGCTCTCAGTGCTCCAAATAATCTTAAAATAAATCTGATCCTATTTGATAAGACCAACAGTTTCTTCCCATCTCCTCTCTTCCAATCCAATCAAATTCCTTATCAACCTAAAAATAATCACAACAAACCTCCTGAGAATTCCCCACAGCCACTACCTGACTCTTCTCAGAATACTTCCTCAGCTCTTAGGTAGAAGGGAGTGCCAAAAACAATGCCATTAGTCTGACTTCAGAGAAAGAAATCTCACTCACTGACCGATATTGCTTCATCTAGAGGTTTTCTTCTGTGTGCACTTGCAGCAGTGGCTACTCTGGGCAGATCAAAAAGAGAGAAAGGGCATCTAGGCAGGTAATTTCCCCCAAGTTTTAGAAATTCAGACAAACTGCATTTTAAAATGTGCTTAGAAGACAGCAGTAAATAGAAATTTCTACTGCAAAGCTTTGGGATGTTTAGGGAACCACCACTTAGGCAAATTGCACACTGGTTTCCATTTCCAAATGGACTTACTATAGGTATAAAACAGTATGGAATTGTCATTGCCATGTTTTCTGTGGTAAATGAAGTAATCATTCAGCAGAAAACAAAATCTAACAAAGGCGGGTGGTGTGGTGTCCGTTGCTAGCTAGAAACAATTATAAAGTGTACCAGAACAGCTTCAATAAGCAGAAAAGTTCTGTGGTGTCTTAACCAAGTAATACTGTATTATGTGGTTAAACACCTAAATGAAATCAGAACAATTAAAGAATGATAGACTTGTTTTAAATGTTTTTGGTTTTGTTATTGTTTTGGGGTTTTTTTGTTTTGGTTTTGTTTGTTTGTTTTGGGTTTTTGTTTTGTTTTTTTAATCTATGCATATTATAATAACATAAAGAACTCAATCTCTAATTGGGATAATGTTGTGTCTGGTGATAAGCAGATGCTCAAGTGTCTGAAATTAAATGAAATGAATGGCCCCTTCCATAGTCATAAACTGTAAAGGAAAGAAAGACTTACTCAAGGCCATCTAGTGAGTTCCTGGTCATGCCAAGGAGAGCATTACCCTCTATGGAATCTCAGTCCAGAGCTCTGTCTGCTGGAGCTTATTGCCTGACTTGTACGGAGAGATGCTCCAGCTTCCTTCAGGCCAGCACTTTGATTCATGAGCTCTGAAAATATTTGAATGGTACTGTAGATGCAGCATGTAAATTCTTACATTTTTACTTTCATAAAATGTAACTCAGTGAAAGACACAATGGGAAAGTTGCCATTTTACTCAGGAGTGCTTGTTTCCCGTTTTGGGCTCAGCAGAAACAACAGCAAGGGCCAACTCATTTGATCACCATTATGTGTAATAATTTGTCTGAAGTTATTTTCTCATTGTGCTTCTGAGAACATGACCGAATAGGAAGGGGGGACAATTTACACCTGTTTTTAATCATTTTAACATTGACATGTGATAGAAAATCTCCATTTGAGCTCAGAGGTTGTAAGTTATTTCATTGCGAAAGGAAGCAACTTGTTTGCACTGGTTTCTTACTACAGAATGCTTAAAGCAGCAGAAACTGTGTTAATAAAACTGCATGAAATAGATAAAAATATATTGAAAGGCTTTGGAGGATGCGATTTTGAATGAGTGTATATGAGAACAAAAATGAAACCTGTAGTATTTGGGTGGAAATTATTCCTTAGGCTGCAAACTGCCTTTAGGTCCATATGCTTCTCTCATCTGCATGTACAAAGGAGTCTGTGCACGAGGGAGGAGAGAAATGTGGCCCTTCATGATGAGTGAATTGAGAGCTTGAGTACACATAAACACTGTACTATTAGCACAGCCCAAGACCAAAGGTACTGCAAATTAATTGAACAAAAGAATTTGTGTACAGTTGGCATGTCTGTTCTTATATGAATCAAAAGAAGGAGTTGGGCAGAACTCCTTTTAGGAAGAAAAGAAAAACATATGTTAGTTATTGTATTGAGAGGATGTTTTTATGAGAAAAGGGGATGCTGCTTCATTAATAACTGACATGTCACACCAATTCTGGTAGGTCTGATAGATTAAACATGAACCTCTCATTATTCAGGCAGCTGAAATGTATTGGCTGCTTTACCCACCTAATATTTATTCCTTGCACAGTATAACTACAAAATTGACATCTTCTTTTAAAATTGTTTGGCTGTAATAAATATAAAACTTTCACTGCTGATGTAAAGCGTTGCTAGCTGGCATAATTTCCTATCCCTTTTTAATTATTCTTGACACTGTGGAGAAACATCTAATATAAATCTGTAATGTGCTCTGATGACAAACTACACGGTTGGAAGACCATGTAATCTCTCCACAATTAATTAAAGTGCACAGAGCTGCTTTTTTTTTTCCTTTTCTTTTTTTTTTTCTTTCTTATTTTCCACTCCCCCCAGCAACCAGATGCCACTGACTGGCTCAAATAACATTGCTGTCAACTGTAAAAAATTAAGATCCAAACCCTAAGAAAGGTACTTAAATAAAGAAAGCAGATGCCAGGTTACTTTTTGATATTGTGGCATACATCTTGGTGGAAGGCACTATTGTTCAACATCTGTAGCTTTACATACTTAATTACTGACGTGGCAAATCTGTCGGCAGTTTATTTCCACAAGTATCTGTCACTTCAGCAAATCCTTTATTGAAAACTGAACGATGCCAATCGGTGTGAATAGTTCACCACCACGCCTAGAGCAA